GATTCCACCACTTATGCATAGCTGAAGCATTAGCTATACATGAACAAAAACTGAAACTGCATTCAAAAACGTTTTCTGAAACTACCTTCGCTACCTTGGCCTCAACAATTCACTTTGGTTAGTCTATCAATTTCACTTCACTTTAGTTAAACCTCTCTTTTACGATCATCATTATCACCAATTTTCATTTCATTGACACATTTGACCCATACTTCACTATTTCGTCAATCCTCCGACGTAAGTCGAAGTCCTGAACGCCATAAGGCCACTGAAATGTAGGAAAGCAGCAGGACCAGATGGAATCCCACCAGAACCACTGTGAACAGACGCAGAGACAACAGCGGACATGCTCACACCACACCACTATTGCAGAAGGTCTAGAAGGAAGGGAAGGTACCTGCCAACTGATTGGAAGAAGGGCTACCTTGTCAAACTCCCGAAGAAGGGCGACCTCAGTGTTTGCAAGAACTGTCGCGGAATCACGCTCCTGTCCACCCAAAGCAAGCAAAATATTATGCCACATCATCCTGGAGAGGCTAAAGGATGCACTGGATTCAAAACTACGACCAGAACAGGCAGGCTGGATTCAGGAAGTACAAATTATGTGCAGACCAAATTGCAACGCTTCGCATCATCGTAGAACAGAGTATGGAATTGCAGTCAACTCTCTACCTCAACTTCATCGACTTTGAGAAGGCCTTTGACAGCGTCGACCGACAAGTAATTTGGCAGGCAGTTGCTTCAACACTGCGGAATACCATAAACCTTTATAAAGCCTCATTCAACAACTATATGAAGACGCCACATGCCAGCCAAGTAATTCACAGTGGAGGCTCAGTGATGCTTTTGAAGTGAAGACAGGAGTAGAAGAAGGCTGTCTACTATCACCCATGATATTCCTGATTGTAGTGGACTGGATCATGCAACAAACAGTGGGGAGCGAGAAGAGGGGCATACGCTGGACCGGGGAAAAGAACCTAGAAGATTTGGATTTCGCTAATGATGACTTATGTCTAATGTCACACAAACTTGAAGGTCTACAGGCGAAAACTAAGAAGTTGGCAGAAGAGGCAGCGAGGGAAGACGGGGCTTCAAGTGAATATAGAGAAGGCGGAGGTGATGAAGATACCCAACCAACAAGCTCCAGTCACCATGAACGGAGAAACTTAAAGGAAGTAGCCTCTTTCACCTATCTAGGCAGCACTGTTTCAACTACAGGCGGTGGTGGCACAGACGAGGACGTCAAAGCCAGCCAGGATCGGAAAAGCAAGACAGGCGTCCATTAGTCTGAAACCAGTGTGGAGATCTTCTGCACTCAGCATGTCGAACAAGATGCGGATTTTCAACACCAACGTCAAGTCAGTGCTTCTATATGGTTCAGAGACTTGGCGCGTTATGAAAGGTATTCCCAACAAACTACAGACATTCATCAACAACTACCTACACTGGCTCGTTACTGAAGATCAGATGGCCAGGAAGGATAAGCAACAAGGAACTCTGGGGACGAACCAGTCACTAACCTATCATCCAACAAATATGCAGAAGGAAGTGGAGATGGATTGGATCGGGCATACACAGAGAAGGCCGATTGGGGACATCACGCACCAGGCCCTGGAGTGGAACCCCGATGGGAAGCGACGAGTTGGGCGTCCTAGCTGAGGGTGACATGGAGGAGATGGTGTGAGGAAGAAACGCGAACTTGTGGGCTGTTGTAGAGCCAGGTTGAAAAGATTTCAGAGAACAGAGCGCATTGGAGACGTGCTACTGAAGTCCTATGTTCCATTAGGGACCCAAGGGACGAGTAATAATAATAATCACTGTTTCATATCAATTCATTCCTTATTCATTGACCTATTTTGGATGTTTCAGCTAAATTATCACGGTTTTACAGTTCTTTGAAAACACATGTGTCTTATCTCACCACTTCTTATGGATTGCTTCTTTATTCAGTGACGCGTTTTCTGTTTCTTCCACTTGAGCAAATCCCACCGCTAACACCTATTGCATATTGACCAAGCAACTTTGTAGTGCAATTATCTGTCATTTTACCGAAGTAAATACAGCTGTATAGCTTGATAATGAAGTCATTGAAAAGAAATATTTCTTCGCTGATAAATGTCTTGTTCTTATTCGTGAATAAATGGGTATATTTCGTCATCTGAGTTTATTTATCTTACCCTACCATATTTTCCTGCTTCATATAAAATATCCTGACAGGTAAATATGCAACCAGATTATTCGAAATTTATTGCTCGAATACACTACGTTTCTCAGATAACCTCCGTCTTCTTATTGTATTATGTAAATTTCAACTAATAGTTCTCGGGATCTCACTCCACCTACCGAAGTTTAAGCAAACAGATAGAATCATTACCACTCACACAATAGCTGCCTATTCGTTGAAGGTGTTCAGATATTATGTTTTCGAAGCGCTAATGGTATGTGTATATATTCCGAAACGAATATAATACGCGCGCTTAGCTGACAGCTAACCCGGTACGCAAGAGACACTGACTGCAACCCCGGACGAATGGGGGGAAAACCGAAGCTGGTAGATGGGGGAGTGTATTACTCCGAGAATATAATATATAATATAATAACAATGAATCAATCCAAAACACGTGAATAAGTATACGCATGAAAAATGACCGTGTCCGCATTTGGAGAAATTCGCATAGTAAGAGCAAAAGTTAACTAATCAGCAAATTACATTACAATGGAGGCGGAAATAGACTATTAGTCATGCTGTAACAATGGCATGGGAATGACACGTTAAAATGTTCAGATCAATAACAATGTTTTATACAAGACTGGGGCATCACAACACATATGTTGAATGAGTTTCGACTTTTTTCACTTGGTAGCAATAATATTCCACATTTTGCATTCATCATATAATCAATTCACTTGATTTGATTTCTGATTATCCTCACTGGAGAGTTGTTTGAAAGCATTTTGTTGGTTTCTCCGTATTTATAATTGTGGAAATTTCTTCTGTGTAGTGATTCCGCATGTAGTACTTGATTTCTTATATTTTAGTTTGTAATTTCCAGCAATAGTCATTAAATGCTATCAACATTTTCTTAACTGATACTGCATTATGAAGAATATCTATTACGTTTCATGTACGATTTTATCACAGTATTCATATATCTATTTTAGAGAGCCCGTGAGATGAAACAGTGTCCGAATGTGGAGGTTGATAGAGGTGAGCTGAACTTCATTTTTCGATGCTGGCTTTATTATTATTATTTGTCCCTTGGGTTCCTAATGGAACATAGGACTTCAGTAGCACGTCTCCAATGCGCTCTGTTCTCTGAAATCTTTTCAACCTGGCTCTACAACAGCCCACAAGTTCGCGTTTCTTCCTCACACCATCTCCTCCATGTCACCCTCAGCTAGGACGCCCAACTCGTCGCTTCCCATCGGGGTTCCACTCCAGGGCCTGGTGCGTGATGTCCCCAATCGGCCTTCTCTGTGTATGCCCGATCCAATCCATCTCCACTTCCTTCTGCATATTTGTTGGATGATAGGTTAGTGACTGGTTCGTCCCCAGAGTTCCTTGTTGCTTATCCTTCCTGGCCATCTGATCTTCAGTAACGAGCCAGTGTAGGTAGTTGTTGATGAATGTCTGTAGTTTGTTGGGAATACCTTTCATAACGCGCCAAGTCTCTGAACCATATAGAAGCACTGACTTGACGTTGGTGTTGAAAATCCGCATCTTGTTCGACATGCTGAGTGCAGAAGATCTCCACACTGGTTTCAGACTAATGGACGCCTGTCTTGCTTTTCCGATCCTGGCTGGCTTTGACGTCCTCGTCTGTGCCACCACCGCCTGTAGTTGAAACAGTGCTGCCTAGATAGGTGAAAGAGGCTACTTCCTTTAAGTTTCTCCCGTTCATGGTGACTGGAGCTTGTTGGTTGGGTATCTTCATCACCTCCGCCTTCTCTATATTCACTTGAAGCCCCGTCTTCCCTCGCTGCCTCTTCTGCCAACTTCTTAGTTTTCGCCTGTAGACCTTCAAGTTTGTGTGACATTAGACATAAGTCATCATTAGCGAAATCCAAATCTTCTAGGTTCTTTTCCCCGGTCCAGCGTATGCCCCTCTTCTCGCTCCCCACTGTTTGTTGCATGATCCAGTCCACTACAATCAGGAATATCATGGGTGATAGTAGACAGCCTTCTTCTACTCCTGTCTTCACTTCAAAAGCATCACTGAGCCTCCCACTGTGAATTACTTGGCTGGCATGTGGCGTCTTCATATAGTTGTTGAATGAGGCTTTATAAAGGTTTATGGTATTCCGCAGTGTTGAAGCAACTGCCTGCCAAATTACTTGTCGGTCGACGCTGTCAAAGGCCTTCTCAAAGTCGATGAAGTTGAGGTAGAGAGTTGACTGCAATTCCATACTCTGTTCTACGATGATGCGAAGCGTTGCAATTTGGTCTGCACATAATTTGTACTTCCTGAATCCAGCCTGCCTGTTCTGGTCGTAGTTTTGAATCCAGTGCATCCTTTAGCCTCTCCAGGATGATGTGGCATAATATTTTGCTTGCTTTGGGTGGACAGGAGCGTGATTCCGCGACAGTTCTTGCAAACACTGAGGTCGCCCTTCTTCGGGAGTTTGACAAGGTAGCCCTTCTTCCAATCAGTTGGCAGGTACCTTCCCTTCCTTCTAGACCTTCTGCAATAGTGGTGTGGTGTGAGCATGTCCGCTGTTGTCTCTGCGTCTGTTCACAGTGGTTCTGGTGGGATTCCATCTGGTCCTGCTGCTTTCCTACATTTCAGTGGCCTTATGGCGTTCAGGACTTCGACTTTCGTCGGAGGGTTTGTGTTCACTAATAGTTCTGTGTCTGAGCTGCAGATGGTCTTTCTGGACGAAATGCTGGTGGTGGTCGATTCAAGAGCTTCCTGAGGTGGTCGGCCCATCGTTTGCTTTGTTTTTGTTCTTTTGTAATTGTGTTTCCTTGATCATCCTTTATTGGTTACATCTGCGTTGATCTCTTCCCTCCCAGATAGTAAGCTGGTTATTTGATACATTGTTGTCAGCCTGTTCTGCTTCACTTGCCAGTGTTTCGTAGAAGTGTCTTTTGTCTTCCCGTGCACTCTTCTTCACTTTTTTGTCCAGTGTTTTATACATTGTACTCAGTTCGTCTTGTCGTTGTGCATCCTTGCACTAGTTTCTATTCTGTTTCACCATCCTCCTCTCCCTGCTCTGTCAGCTTCCATGTGTCCATGGAGATGCATTCCACTCCTTATGTTCATTCTTCTTCCTTCTTAATACGGTTATACAGGTTTCTTTCGACATAGCTTTCAAAGAGTCCCAGTGTTCTCCCACACAGGTTTCTTCAGGGATGTTACTGGACATCTCCCATTTAGTCTTGATGGCTGCCGTGAAGTTTTTCTTTGTAATTTCGTCCTTCAGTTTCCGAGTGTTCTTCTTGAACTGCGGTCTGTCACCAGCTTCCTTGAAGGCTTTCAACTTGATTTGGAAGGCAGGTTCGTTGCACTAGATGTTGATCTGAGCCTATGTCTGCTCCTCTTCTTGACCTTGTGTCAAGTAAACTGCGTCTCCACTTTCTTGAGATTGAGATAAAGTCGACAAGATTTTTTAGTGTGTCCATCTGGTGAAATCCGTATCGCTTTGTGGATATCCTTGTGCTTGAATACGCTGCCTCTAATCACCAAATCGTTGAATGCACAGAATTCATCAAACAATTCTCCATTCTCGTTCATCATTTCACCTAGCACTTTTCTGCCCATGGTTAGTTCTCTTCCTGTGTTGTGTACTCCCAGTTTGGCATTGAAACATGTCACCCATTAGAATCTTTATGTCGCTATCTGGGGTAGGGTCTTGTCCAGTGCTGATTGAAGTTGTCTGTAGAATTCCTCCTTTTTCTGTTGCTCTGCATTATTTGTAGGTGCGTAGCGTAGCATTGAATGATTGTGACCTTCCTTCCTTCCTTTTGAGTTGAACCTTGCTGTCATGATCCTGGAGGAGATTGGTTCCCACTGCATGATGGAGAGCCTTCGATGCTCTTGAGGACATCATGATAGCCACTCCAAATTTCAGTGTGTTCGTGATTGTCGTGTGGGTGACAATATCAGCGTAGATTACTGATTCTACAGTTGACAGTTTGGATAGTCCACTCCCATTCCACCTGCTTTCGCATATTCCTATCACTTCAATGTGATACCTCTTCATCTCGTTTGCAATCTGAGCTGCCTTGCTGGGTTCAAACATCATGCGGACATTCCATGTCCCCATGTTTACTTTCGCTTCCATCGAGAGAGGTGAAGACACATCGACCAATTGGCTTCCCGAAGGTTTTCACCAACCGACGTCATTTCGCCATTTCCGATTCCAGTGGGGAATAATTTTGTTTTTATTTTTTATATTTTGTTTATGCTTTGAAGTTTCTCTAGCGGTTGGATTTGTTTTCCGGGGTAGGTTCGCTAGCCCTATGCCCAACCTTCCCTCTTTACCCGGCTTAGGACCGGCTAGTAACTAGTGAACTAGTTAACCAGGCGAGGTTAATATTAGTGAATGTCTCTGCTTTGTTAGCACTTTTTTTTCAAAATAATTCCTCCTAATGATCACATTCTCCATGTATCTAAAATCATCTTACTGCCTTCCTTAAAATCATTTCACTTTTCAGGCTGGTATTCATCATGGATTGACATCAGTTGAAAAAAACATTTGAAAACTGGAAGCACTGGACAGCCGTTTCGTTTTAGCATAGGACCCCTCAACAGTGCGAACCCATGACCTTATCAGGGATTGAACCCGGGACCTTCCGGTTCGGCCACCAGTTTATGATATAGCGCAACCTCCACTCAATGCTGTCGTCGAGTAACTGTCCTTACGTCCGACATGGTTGGCTCCACTGGTCACAACTCATTAGAACTTTGGAAGTCTGTAGGTTTTTTTGGGTTCATGGGTGCGCACTACTGAGGAGTCCCACACTAGGATGAAACGGCTGTCCAGTGCTCTCACATTTTCAGCTTTTTTTCAGCTGAGTACCAACCTGAAATCAATAAGCGAATCCCCACAAACCTCAATTTTCATTTGTTATTTTTTTGAATTGTTAGAGCGCACTGTACTTCTTAATGTTCATCTTAAGGTTATTAAGCGGAATAGATATCCTCATAATTTGGTTTTTTCATTTTTAACTGCTTTCACATCATCCCACTATAAGTATTCCCACCTGCTATTCACTAAGTAGTTGTTAGTGTTTGGCTGATTGCATCCTCCACCATCAAAGATGTATCTACTACTTTTCCTCTTAGATCATAGATTTTCAAAGTATGTCACCGATATCAGTCATATAAATGTGGCTGTGTGGCATGATTAAAAGATTCGTTTCGTCAGATTCGTAGATTTTTCAACGATTGCAGCAATAACTTCGGTAATATTTTCTTCGTGTTACAGTAGGCTTTTCGAACTATAAACAGAATGCATTTAAAACTCGTTAAATTTTCTGTGAATCATTTACTACTGCTTTTGGCTGCTGTCAAATGACTATCTTGACGTGGTAATCGAATTCGCACAGCACACTAACTCAACGAGCTGCGCTGTCCCGAACCCTTGTCCCTTGAGGTCCTAAGCTGCAGGAAAGGCTTGTTGGATACTGGCAACACAAAAGGCAGTAATCCCCAGCTTAAAAACCTATGTTACAATGAGGGGTCCTAAGACATAGTTTTACTGCTTACTAGGCAGGTTGTGACAGCAGTAAAGTGTTTCCCACTGATAATCAGTAGTACCATGATTATACTTCCTTTCTTATAGGAAGGGAGCAAGGGTAAAAATCTTCTTTTTCAGGTACCCTTTCAAAAAAATATTCCATCGCCTAGGGTGCCGGAAAGTACCAACCGGCTGCACTCTTCCTGTAATAAACAAAACCCAATCAAATATAACCTTTGCCTTTGTTTTGTGATACCAGTAGTAAGCCTATTACAACTTCTCCAACCTCCCACACTGTAGCTATTTCTAACGCTTGAAACTAGTGAAACGCCATTCCTAATTCCGCGTCAATAACGCATTGAGGCCTTCCACATCCAAGCTTTATGCCAGAGCGGACAACAGATATCTTTTGCTTGAACTCAAGAATCTTGAGTCCTGCGTGTTTGCTGTGTTTCTGAGACACATATACAGGGTCCGAATGTATTTATTCACTCAACCTCACCTGGTGAATCTTCAAGATTCACTTCGTATGGATCCAGAAGTTCCGCGGCTGGCTCTTGTGACCGTATTGGTGTCGAAATATCACTAAGTTCTGGAGGAGAAAGCGTATCTCTTGACTGTGTCAGTCAACCACCGTATGTCTGCTGTCTGATTGTGAATGGATGTCAGAACTAGGTGAGGTCATGAGACTTGCCTATGCCTATTGATTATCGTCGCCCACTGTGTGCAGTTCGGATGATACAAAGGATGAATTCTATTAATCGCTGTCAATTTCATTACATAAGGCAAACGCCGAAGTTGGAAAACTGAGCCAATCGGAATGATACCTGGAAAGAGTACATAGTATCCCTTGTTGACAACCCAACAACACTTATCGTTTGTTGCAATTATTATTCAGGTAGTCACTTTTTACCAGCACACACTTCAAACATAAGAAGATATTCTATCTCACAGGACATCTATCGTCATCAGACCAACGACTGACATAGGTCATATTGTTATAAACCATCAGTAGAAGATTACTTGCCTTTCTAGAGTATCCATTTTAACTCTGACCATTGGTTAGTGCGAGAATGTGTGTGTTGACCCCCTTCTGGTCACAGAAAATAAGTGGCAGTTAAGCCTTTGCAAGCTTGATTGTAAGATGAGGAGGTGAAGCGCGTATCTAGCATAGCTAAGTATTTATCTGAGCATGACACCACTCCTCATCCTGATGAAAACTGGCTTGTAGCAACAGCGGGAAAGATGTTTGGTAGCCTAAGTCCAAAGGTTAACGAAATCCCGTGGATTTCCTCCTTCTCATCCAAAATGATTGGTGCGAAAAAACTCATTCCACCTGATTCTGAACACAGTCATGAGGAGTGAAATCAGCTCAAACATAAATGGACTAATAATCATCGTAATGATTGCGAGCAGTGGTGGATGGTCAAAGCAAGGGAGATGAAGTAATTAGGATAAGGAACATTTTGCAATTATTTCGGCTTATTAAGGATACTGGCACGGAGAAGACGATAGCTGGTGAGAACATCATAGGAAAGAACAAGGCTGTGCTAATTTGTCAGGACCTACAGCTAGAACTTTAGGCGGAACACTCAAAAACCTAGGTCAACTGGCTCTCAAAAACGCTTTATTTGCCTAACATCCAGCCCGAACCTGAATGGTACGTAGCTATTGATCATCCGTCTACGAAATTGAGAAGGCATTTTCCAACCTGGGAAGATGAAAAGTAGCAGGATTTGACGATTTTCCACCCGAAGTTTTTAAGGATGGAGGTAGGAAATTAGTGGGTAGAGTAACAGAGATACCAAGTAGAATATGGGAATCAGAGGTAGTCTCGTCGAACTGGCCTACTTTACCGATCATTTCATTCTAAAAGCGGGGAGAGAAGTCTTCTCGTGACAGTCATCGGAGAACCAGTTTGACTAATATTATTTTTAAGATCCTAGTGCTCATAGTTATCCGATACCTAAGTAGAGCCCGAGAACAACAAACGCGAGAGAACTAGGCAGGTTTCAGACCTGAATGAGAGTGCATCAGTCATATTTTCACCCTCCGACAAGTTCTGGCATACTTACCGACGGCCAACACTTGCCATATTTCGCGACCTGAAGGTGTTATTCGATCGTCTCGACTGAGAGGTGCTCCGAGTAAGTACGTAACGCTAGTCAGAGCCCTGTACCCGAACTCATGCAACAGTAGCAGTGCTTATGGAGAGTTGTCATCAGAATTTATGACAACTAGCAGTGTCCGGCAGAAATGTCTGCTATCTTCTTTCGTGTTTGATTTCGTTTTAGATATAATAGTCATAACTGTAGGTACCTTTGACTTCATACGAATTGATCTACTCTCTATGGCATGTAGCTGACTAGGATTACACTGACGAAATTGTTCTGTTAGACGAAGATGCTTAAGACATACAGTCTTCCGAACACTGTTAGCAGAAATCTGAATGTTTTGCATTTATTTTGCGAATATCGCATTTAAGATGATGCTTCAGGACTGGTTAAGAACTACTCCTAGTATATGGATAGTGAGTGAAGTGGTGGAGTGCGTCGACCAGTTCACTAACCTATGGTGATGCATCAGTTTGAACGGGCTGGTTGCTGTCGAAATCTCAGCTTGGATACAAAATGCCAGTTTGGCACTAACCAATTTGGGTCATCTCTGGAGTGAGTGTGGTATCCAACTAACAATCAGTGAATAAATACACTCCGTTGTTGTCCCTTCTGTCCTTTTATACGATTGTGAGACATGGCCGTTGAAATTAGATGTGAAGAGATTACGTGTTTCCGAACACAGGTGTCTTCGTGTCACTGCTTACGTACAGTGGAATTGCCGTATGATCAATGTTTGGGTTAGACGGAAAGTACCATGAGGTTGTGGGCCTTTACCAAATTGGTTGACTTGAACATGTGGTGCATTTGCCAAGCCAGCGTCTACCTCTATATGCAATGTTAGCTGAAGTAGGATTAAGTCGGAAGAAGCCTAAGGATGGTCAGACTAAGAAGTGACATAAGTCAATGAAGTCTTTCATTGTTAGCCTGAATCATGTAGAAAGGTGTAGTCTGTCTGGTTGTGGTCCTCGTGATAATAGGAATCAATGGGTAGAGACCGTTGTTGACATGACTGAAAATCGGTCACAGATGGAAGTGTATTCACTCTTTGATGTCTTCAAATGCTTGAACATTTTCACTAAACCTCACTTCCAAATTATTTTTCATCACGTGTATCTCTCTCCACTTTGATATCACTCCCTATTATCCACTTGTTCCTCGCATACTGCTGTAAAGTCTGACAACCTGAATCAATGCACTTCTATGTGAAGTCCTCTGCTAGCTATGTTTGCCTTTCCGTTTCCACTCAGATTTGTCTTATTAGGTGTGTAGAAACAGAAGTGTCCCCTGTTTCCAAAGTTGATATATATATATATATATATATATATATATATATATATATATATATATATATATATATATATATATATATATACTTATCTATTGCATTAGATGATGGTCGCGCTATTTCATGAACCGACAGAAGTAGAAAACTGTGGACCATTGGATTCCAACTACTGGCTCAATGGTAAAGCGCCGGCCACGGAACCTGAAGGTCCTGGTTTTGATTCTTGGTGGCGTCATGTGCACGTACTGCTGAGGAGTCCCATAATAGGACGAAACAGCTGTTCAGTGCTCCTAGGTTTCCTATGTTTCTCCAACTGATGTCAGTCCATGATGAATACCAACCTGAAGTCAATAAATCAATCCCAACAAACCTCAAATCTTTAGTTTTTTGTCGTTAGCAGTTGTTAATGTCTATAAACTTGTTGCCGGGAATGTATTATATTTTCTAATTTTTTTTACGATATTTGCTACATTAGTAGTTCTTTTTAGTGACTTCCTCTCGAACATATATGTTTTCTTTTTTTATCATATATAAATATTCAGTAGCTTGCAATAAATTATGTTTTTTCCTAATTCATCACACAGATGATATGGATAATTCTGTCAAATTAAATCGACATCACAGTACTGGTTCTGTGCATTCACTAAACAATCAAAACCCAGCTTCAAAGGTGAATGCAACGATTCCAGTGTCTACATCTCCTACTCAAACATGTTTGACTCCATACCTTTCTGATGAACCGAAACTCATTCATACAAGTGGATCTATCCAGTCCATAATGGAACAACCATCGAGTCAAACAAATTCTGTTCCACCAAGCAATAATTTACGACTGTCCGAACCAGAAGCATCCATAGATGATGCTGTTATTAATCAGGCATTAAATGCTGTCACCTATCCTAGTCGACAAAGCCCATATCATCTAGATATTGGACGTCTCGTCAGAGGTGAGCTTAATTTTCTTCATTATTAATATACAAGGTAATTCTTTTAGAAATCCAGTACACTTTTTAACATACACACATCTTATTAATTCATGAAAAAGATGAAATAGTTTTTTGAGAATAAATTGATCCTTTCGGTTTTGAAAACCAACAATTTGAAATGCATCCATTGCTTAGAGATAGATAGTCCTTGGAGCCTTTTAATAAGTGACTATAGAAAATTAAAACAAGCAACGAATGTGAAAGAAGCAGGATTGATGAATTCATAAATTTCAGGAGTACTCGTCAGCTGGGTACTCTGCATACTTGACTATAAATGCCGATAAACAATGCAAAAGAACATACATACGTATATAGCGTAGACTGAGACATAGATTTAGATGTAAAAACATAGAAATGGATAGTTTCACAGGTCAAGTAGTAGTGCAAAGGGTATAAATGAATGTTCAGAATTGAATAGGTTGGGGATAGGTTACGTGATTAACTATCAGTTTGAATAATAATGGATTTCAGGTAGGAAAATAATAATAATAATGTTGACACAGGGGTGGGGACTGAATCTATTGAGTGTAAATCACGTCATTCACAACAAGATACTTAATACTTCTTATGCAGACTTAATGAGAAAACCAGGTGTTTATTGAGATGAATAATAATAATAATGGTAATAGGAATAAGGTTAATTAGGCCAAACAAATCGGGGAAAGAAAACAACATATCAGATGGGTGATAGTTAAGAGCGAAGAGCGAGTAGGAATGATTGAATGTGATTAGACGACGCTGTAATTCCTACCATGGCAGATTCAAGTTGACTGCCATTTCCCTCTGAATGGAGACGTTTGGTGTGACAACTCGAATCGCACAGGCTTCTGCAAATGCACACAATCTCTTTCACTATCTTCTGATAATCCTTGCCTGTTAAACACAAACCATGTTGTAATATTTTTGAATAGTAAGTGTTCATCGTTTTACTTTGCTGTGATCGATTTAAAGAGTGTCAACCTATTGCCTACGATTAGGAGTGCATCTAATCGGAATCAGGAAACCTGTACAACCCGTTTCGTCATAGAAAGAAACTTTGTTGCATTTTTCACTCTTTCTCTATATCTGTCGGAAGTTTTCACCGAGGTAGGCAGCACATTTTCCTAAACGTCTTTGATTGCCTTCAGGCAATTACCATTCATCCAGTAAATGCCAGATAGATAGAAAGTAAATCGCATTATCTATTCGAGTTAATGAAATACTTTAGCAGTACTCCCTGCATACCAAAAATATGGAAAGCTACGAATTACTTGGTGACTAAAATCCGATTTAGATTCCTTGTAACGTATTCAGTAAAAAGCACCTACCTCTATGGTTGAGGTGCATTTCTTATTTGACTGCCGATCATATTTTTAACAGCTACATAAGTTCTTACATCTCATAAAAGTGGCAGTTTGATGTACTAAAATTATGAGTTTTTAGATATTGAATGCATGTGATAACTGATCAGGAAGAGAGTTGTTAAGCATTGCGTGGAGTAAATATGCTTAAGATTATGAAACGTGATACAGGAAAGGTACCTATAACAAATCACAACAAATATTTCACTGTTCGGTGTTTTGATACAACCACGTGGTATGCGAATATGTGTTGATTTGCCGCATATTGCGATGTTTTTCATCTATATTTCAGAAACTGAGCAAATGTACAGGCGTTTCAGCTCTGCAGCCCGTAAATGGAATCACCCATACATACGTGTTTATATATATATATATATATATATATATATATATATATATATATATATGCATCGGCCCCTTGACATAGTTTGCTCCCTTCACATTAGTGTCATATTTATATTGTTGCCTGTGTCCACTGTAAATTAGTGGTGCATGGTCTCAATTTGTGTGACATTTTTCATTCACTTCTGGTAATTCCCATACGTCTTATTCTTTTTTCTCAGTGGTATGCACCACTCACACCAATACCATACAGATCGAAATCATTTACGGGACAGACATTTGTTTTTATAATCTTCCTGTTTATTAACTCCTTAGTAGCTAGTATATCTTCCTTTTGAACCAGGTGAATGTTATCTATGGGAATCGTACGAGGTGTTTTTCTTTCAAACCTGATTACTGACTTGTTGTGCCGTGACTGGGACAAATAAAATATCGATTTTACCGCCTCTGTGTTTGCCCATTATCAATTTCTCGATCGTTCAGCCACCAAGATCGAAATTTACAAATTGCTAGTTTAATTGTCTACTCACCACTTAGTGTCTATTCACTGCATGTATTGTATTACACTGTCGTTCAGCCACATTTACGTTTTAACTTGATTTTAGTTTATTTGGAGTCTTAATATTTTATAGGATAAAATATCAACTGAAATCACCAACAACATATTCATACTGATTTACAATTCAGGTTCAGGATTAAGGCATGTCAGTTTTATGTCGATTCGTGTACTGTGCTTATTATCGTTTTGTTGTAGATGGTTTTTGAGACATTCCTTTCTGTAGTTTTCCAAAGGAATCAAATTGTGGTGGGGAGAGTACATTGGTTTAAAATATTGATGTACTTCGTAACTTCATCGAACGTACTTTGTTCCAACTATGTAACCAATAAATAAGATTTGACAGTTCCTCGGCTTTTCCATATCTTCAATGCAACTTATAAATCTTATTAGAACCGGACTAGTCACATTTAGGTGTTTAACTCACAAATGTATACTCCGTGTTATCGTATCAGATAATCTGAACACCATACTAGCGGTTATCACCCGAAATCATTGAATGTAATTTCACCGACATTTCAGTCATCAATCTTATTGGATAAAAAAAACCACTGTTCACATGCGTTTTGAGATTTTTTGTGTAGAAAAAGCTGTCATAAATATTCATTGAACTCAATGGGATAAAGGTGTCTAGTGCTTTACTAATCTGACATTTTAGCGACCTAATTGTTGTTCACTCTTTGCTTCATTAAGATAGGTTTACCGTAGTTTGAACGTTTATATGCATCAGCCCTACATTAAGAATAGTGAATTAGTTATTTTCTAGGTTTTCCCTACATTTTCCTTGCATTATTGTTGCACGTGGTTTATAAATGCATGTCATTCTGTCATCATTTGCCTGTAAACCTATACAGATAATGAAATCATTCTTCAACATTTGTCCTTCGTATATATCTTGACTGTTATTATTCATAGACTACATCAGCAGAGGTACATTTCCTGTATTGTAATCATCATGTTTTATCTCTTGTATATACTGATCATTTTAGCTAGGCATTTGCAAGCTTTATCTGTACAGTATGCCTCCTATCAGTGTGCATTTTGTTGCGATTGTTGTTTGGATGTTTTCCTCTAGATTTTTGGGTAGGCTGTAGTTTGGCTTTCATTAGATGGTCGTTAATAATCTGGTTGGGAAATCGAATCCAAGGAGATGCTTTCAAAACCTTAAAATCTGATTTTGAAATTTCTCACTAGTTCCGCTTAATAACTAAACCATTTAATGTATGAAGTGTGATCTTTTGGTAACTTCAACCATATCAAGAATACTAGCATTAAAGCTTTGTCATTGGATAATTTGAACACTCAAACCATTCATATCGTTGACCACAGCAATCTTCAACACTGTAATCGGACTGATTCTAATGTTTGATTTTGGAATTTAATTGACCAGAAACACCGGACCTAGGTTTTGTACTTGTCGGTGCTCATCAGGAAGATGTATCTGCAACCATCAGGATGCTGGCATTCCCTATATTTTACTACGCTTTAAAAATATTTTCTGATATTTCTGTGTGCAGAAATCTATTATTTGTCTGTTCAAATTCAACTTTTTCTATGGTTGTATTGTCAAACAAGACTGTACTTGAACACTGTGATAATAATTTTTAGGTTTATTCGGGTAAAATTCACATTTTTATGAACTTTTCTAGTTTACATCCAAATAGTTTTACTCAACTTAGGTCACTTACTAAAGTTGAGGTTTTCCTCTTGGTTGACCATAATCTGAATTGACTTTCCTGTAGTATGATGCAATAATACAATTCACTTCGATCCTGTATGATTTTATGTACTAGGTTGTGTCACACAGTACATGATGGGGTTTGATGCTACCAGGTTTGCCCAGAAGGATGTATTTGGGGTTAGTCTTAAATTCAGTGCCAGTTTTTCGAAAGTCAAGAAACTAAACTAATGACATATCTCCACTGTAGTGCAATAATGCATGCTATTATTCCTGGTAGTTATTGAAAAATTATGTGTTGATGTTTTGTTTTTTCCTTAGCTGTCGCTTTAGGTTCACCGTTCGCACCCCCTTTGTGCCGTAGTCTTATAAGTACGGCAGTTATACGTGGGTCTCGTGATGATGGTCAGGCATCCAGCAGTGTTCCTGATTTTAAACGACTAATGGAAGACATGAACGTGGCACCGCGAACTTTAACTCGTAAGTGATTCAATCTTTTCCCCATCAATTGTTCCCCTAGATTATATGCGTGAGACGTTTCTGCATTGTGAAATGAATCAATGTATCATGAATGTATTTGTAATGAATGCTTGCACACAATGTTAACTTTTCTGATTTCGATTACACTTCAAGCACAACTACTACTCGTGATCGAATGACTTATTCCTACAAGTTATGAAAAGTTTCGTGCGTTTCGTCCTGTTTGGGACTCGTCAGCTGGGTGTACATGGACCCACCGAGGCTCGAACCCAGTGCCCATCGTTTCAAGGTCGAGCAGTTCAACTCTGTATAGCCACGGGAAATTACAAATATCATTACAACAAATGAGACCTGCTGCACCAGACGTGGCTATCGTGCCGCAATGGCTTAGTGGATAACACTCTGGCGTTTGAAGCGATGGGTACTGGGTTCGAGCCTCAATGGGAACAATACTTACTGGTGTACAGGTACATCCGGCTGATGCGTCTCGAATAAGACTAAACGCGCGTCCTGGACTCCCCTGATAGTCACGAAGATCACTTTAACATCATGCATACCCAGCAGTACCGAGGCATCCACATAGGAGCCCATCTGCCAACAGATGTCGAGCGTTTTGGCCCTGTATAGCAACAGGGAATTAAAAATATCGTCTCTTCACTAGGCGTTTATTGGAGAGTTATCTTTCAGCGTGCCTGTCGTAAATATAGTGATCTCTAGGATTATTCTATGTGAAATTTGGGTCGATAGTTGGTGCATATTTCTTACTACACACTAACGAACCTTTCAACAAATTATCAGTGTTTCCATTTTAACCTAGTGTGGATGGGATTGTTTAGTTACTGTTGATGTATGAGCTGTTATACTTTGGTGGTTAACAGTCTTATCTTAAAAGTAAAGCAACACAAGTTACCAGTTCAGGAGACTGATATATGAAGCTTATACTGGTTATTCTATCCTTTAAGCGTTACCACCAGCTTTTGGAATTCGCTTATCTGATACCATAAGTAGTAATTCAGCATCTCTAGTGGTATCGCTTAAAGTTGATCACAAAACCGTAACTTCATGTTTTTTTCCTACTGATCTTTGTTTTTCATCTTAGTTTATTCTCACTAAATATACTTATAAAGTATGAGAATTGTATTCTAGGCAATATCCTTCTGGTGTCTACCTTTAGTCAGTTTAACTCATTAAAGACGGATCCCTTTTAAAAGATTAACATCGTTCATTTAGTTTTATGCCATGTTTCTCGGCCTGCAGTTACTGGTTGTAACGCTGATTTCATATGATTACGAAAACAGATTAGTGAAAAGTTTTACGCCTAATTTGTAAGTTACGAGTATGCGGTTTGTCTTGGCAGGACGTTTAATGCTTATTTATCGCCAAAGCCAGTCTTACCACCTGCCGTACAACTATATAGTTTGGTTATGCATAGATGTGGCAACACGGCAGTCTAACCTGGAAGGTGGAGGGTTACACTTGCCTTCATTGGCAAATTTTGACGGTGTGAATGGTATCATTAGTGCACCCTTGTTTTCAAGCTTTATGCACTCTCTTTTCGGTAACTATCATCTCATTTAACGTTGGAATATTTACCAGATTTAATTTCATCCCAGTCAGTATCTCAATTTAAATGTGTATAAATATACTTGTTGAACTATTCGTTATATCTTGTATATAATTAAAAATTTCGCATTCAAATTCATTACATTAGTTCTAGTAGGGATATTGTCTAAATTTTCTATCTTAAGGGTTAGATGTTCACTATCCTAAACGACATACTAAAGTAGTGGTTCATGTTTTTCACAGTGAGACTGAGTTTGAAATGGACTAGAAGAAACGAGTTTTCGATGGTCAATATATGCATCCTGTGCTAGTAAGCTTATAGAAATATTTCTCACCAAAATCTTTTTAAAAGAATCCCAGAAATACGTTGACGCATCACGACTTTCTAATCATATGTAAATGCTAATGTGGCTGTAATTGGTATGCATCACAGGGTGTGACTCAATTCAATCGTGTTGATCCTACTGTAGTTTCGTGTTTTGTGTGAAAATTGTAGGACAAATTTAAAAGTAATAAATGCTTTTACCATACCTCCATTTTAACTTTATCCGCCTGTACTTTTGACATTCCTTTTTCTTTGTATGTCTCCATAGTATATCAGATCTGTGGCTTACTGATCAATTGACTTTGAACCGACAGATCACAGCTTGGAACTCTGCTCCAATAACCAGGGTTTTGGACTGACTGACAAAATCAACGTAGAACTCCGTACACTGGTGCATTGGCTCAAGTTGCCACACTTCAAAGTAGTAAACAAAGAATAGATAAATAAAAAAAGTTATATCAAGGTAGATGAAGTTGTATGCAAGAATAAACAATTTAAATATAACAGTTAGTGAATACATCTGCACCATTGTGACTGATTTCCAGCCATGTCACCACGAGTCTTCAACCACTGGTTCTTTTCGTCTTGGGGACCCCAAATTAGGCAGTCTACATCTCCCCCACTCGGCCAATACCAACATTAAGAGACTTAGTGGACTGATGCCAGGTCTTAGTCTAGCCACCCTGAACTCTCTTCCAAGCTAACCCCAATATCACTCAGAAGTGTTCACTGCTTCCTCAGCTTTCTCTCTCTCTCTCTCTCTCTCTCTCTCTCTCTCTATATATATATATATATATATATATATATATATATATATATATATATATATCGAACACCCAGGTAGTATCACTAGCCCTTAAACAATAGGTGTGGCTCATCACCTATTGCATGGATATGCACAAGGTGGCTGAGTGCGTTTCGTTCGTTCGTTCGTTCATTGCTGCTCCATATGTCTACGCTTTAATTTGAAATAGGGGAGAATATTTGTAGTTCAGGTGGATGGTCTTGATTGTATTGTGTTCTCTGAGGTCAGATAACTCAATACAACCAGGACTCTTTAATTTGTTTGAGTAAATTTAGTCGAGTCAGTGGCATTTGATAAAACAGACTTACAGTCAAACTATCTCTGACGTAAAATTGGAAATCAAGCCTAGACAAAATAAGATTATTTGTAGAGTTTTTCAATTGGAAGAAATTAAAACGAACTCAGCAGTCTTCTGCACATTTGTGCAGTGAGCAATGAGCCACACGTACTGTGTGCAGGCTAATGATACTGCCTTGGTGCCCAAACCAACGTAGATGAAGTGATATTCGAACTCATGACCCACTGGTTGAAAGCCAACTCCCTAAACCCATAAGTTTGAATTTCCTGGGTAATTTGAATTTTTGTTGGAATGGATTATGTTCTCATCATCATTTTTAATCTTCAAAGTAAAGTCAAGGGAATTATAAAGTTTTCTATCTATGGATAGTTGAGTTTACTGTGTTTGTTGCCAATTTTTCTGCGGTGTCACATTTTTACATATTGTGATTTATCAACTAGTTGACGGGCTTTATTTCTGCTCCCTTAATAAGATGAATATGTAGATGGTAATACACTCAATAATTCGTTAAAATAGTAGCAACAGTAAGACTAATGCGTATCAATGATTGTTACATAATAGCCTTTCGTTTTCATCCTGGAATATTTTTTCCATTTTTTCATCATTAGCTGGAAGTTCTAAGGACTTTCTGGTTCCGAGTGCACCATGTGTACCTGAAGTTTATCCACTGGAAACATTACATAACGCTTTAACTTTAAGTCAATTGGAAGCTTTTTTTGTTCGTTTAACCACTCACAAATTTCCAACTCCGTTCACGTCACCTCAGCATCCATCGACTCCTGTCAATTATTATCATCAACATCGTCACCCAATCAATTCTGATATCACTGGTCAATATCAAGATTCAAATACAAGTTTGTTGACTGCATTCCCAGTTACCATTGGAGATGATATTATAGATCAAAGTTGTGGTGCTGTTGGTGAAATTTCACCTGAGCCAGAAGAAGGCGGGACGTCATTACTGCAATCCACTTCAGCTTTCCACTTAATTACGTCAAATGCTAAGTCATCATTATCTCTAATAGAATCAGGACCACTGGAAAATACTGATAGTTGTTTTTTACCTCAGGAACCTATGGTGAGGATTGTTTTATTGTGGTTATGATTTCTAATTTTAGCAATAACATTACTTGATCAAAAAAAATAGCACTAGAAATTTAAAGTGATCACTAAGTAGTTGATATAGCACAAGTATCTTCTGATGACCCCTTTAAGGTGAATATTCCAATAGTCATACCCTAAATGGATCCATCATCACTTTTTTCAATCTGCAAAACATATCACATGAACTGAGCCCGACAAAACATCTGGGATGCTGAAACTGATCATTGCAGAAACGCTTTTTTAAGAATAAGTTTGTCAAGGCCTCGATACTAACTAGGAAGTTAGCACTATATATATGATACATTTTACGGTTGACCATTTTCTCGCTGTAATATCCAGACACAAGCTGCAGTTGACTGCATTAGATCTGCACAAAATCTGTAAACGAATTTTCAAAAATGTGCGTAACACTGGAAAAAGAAAACTGCCGTTATGCGCCTGTAATTAAAATTGATGATACCTCCCTCAGTAACCCTTTCGGTACGGAATGCCAGTTCAGTTAATGATTGATGACATTCTGCTTGTAGTCCTTGCGTGGTTAAGGTTTACAGCAGTTCTCATTGCTTCATATCTTAACAAATTACGAAAATAAGTTATAAATAGAAGTTGTTTTGCCACTGAAACCGACAAGATGATTTCGTTCATCTGCTACTCGTGTTTGTTTGATTATCTTTAGGTAAAGCTTTCAACCGTTTTCAGAACACTGTGTTTGCGTTAACTTAAACGGCTTGAAATAGACACACCTTTTTAAAAAGTTCCCTTTTGACCATTTTTATGTATTGCTTATCTCTTAAACTAAAACAAATACTTAGATATGAAAGCATCCAAAACAGCAGTAATCTTATGTATTCAGTTTACTTCAGAGAATGTAGTCATTCCTTTCATTCATGACAGTACACTTATTTGCACATCACTTTTTTGAAATCGCCTAGCAATCTTAAAAGTGTAGAAATATGTGCTAAAATATTTAGATTTACTATGTATAGCGTTATCTTTATTATTTATTTAGTCTTTCGGATTCAGAAAGACATTTTCTAGTAGAGATGGATTTCATTTCGAGGATATTGCTTTTTGGGATTGGAAATAGGAAGTGAATGTGCCGCATAAAATTTTTCTGTCTAAAATGATTCCACCTGGACATAACGCAAGTTTGCTCTTAGAAAAGTCATAGAAATTCTACCATAGAGTTATGTACTGAATTATTTCTGGGAAACATCGCTATAGTAAGTTGCATTTGCTCTTGTTTCTCTGAGCATTACTTTTCGAAGCCTTATTTCGTGACAAGTTGTTACTTTATCGAGCGAAAAAGATTGCATCCATTCAAGTGAACTTTTTTAAGACTCCAATTCTGACCACCGCGAAGCATATAGCATCAGACTGAATTACAAGCTAATATCGAGGTATATGTTCAAGAAACCTACATACCAACAAAGACAACGATCTGATTTCAGCAAAGCAATTAAGGAGAAATTCCATCTATAAATTGGCGATATTTCCCATTTTTCGCTTTGCAATGCTACTTCTGGCTTCTATTCTAGGAGGAAACACAAAGAGATCCTATAGTTGTCCATTGCTCTAAACAGTTGCCTTATATCACTAATACACTAATGTAACAGGTTTGATGCTCCATATTCTGTTTCATCATAGTTTATTACTGTACGTGTATTTATTCAATAAATTATTTTTCCCATTTTCACCCATTTTAATTTCTGAGATCATGCACTGTATGCTTTTTTCCTCCCATTTTAGTCCGATTGTCCGTCTACGGATAGTTGAGCATTTGTGATTCACTACTGTTGCCTCTCAATGGCCATGAACACAGTTACATCTATAAGTGATATGATTTGCTTCCAGTTCCCTCCTGATCCATTAGTATTCGGTTGATTCAATAATTTCTGAAGAATATATGCGTTGTAATATATATTTTCTAAGTTAATAATGTTTTGTACCTGCCTATTTTTTCCTATTCTCTTTTAATCGCTTTATGTACGCTTTTTTCATTAACAGTGAGATTTAGTTTTTAAAAAATTCAACTAGTCCTTTGAAGTTTTGACTATTTTTTAATCTTCATTTCGTGTCAATTATGCAATCATTTTATTCGCTGTAGTTTATGTTGACTCCATACCATCTTCTGTGTAGGTTCAAAACACAGACCTTAAGCACACAGCCGTTTCGATGTAGGTTACAGCCTCATGGTCGATTATCTTGCAAACGTTGCCGAATTAGCAATAGGCATTCATTATATTTCAGTTGATCGAATTAACAGAAACGTACTTTATGAAAACTTGAATTTCTTCGGCTCGGCCTATGAATGGGTTATTCCGTTGTAGTACTGATGAGTTTCAAAGTGATACAGACAGTTTCAAGTGCTTTGTAATTTTTAATCGTCTGTCTAAAGCACATATATTTTGTAAAAGTCATGGTGATACAAGCTTACAGAAGGCTGATGAAAGCTGAATTGTTTATCGCTTGTATTTTTTATTTTCGTTGGTAAAGGATCAATAATAAATCCTGAGCTGTGGTTCACGAGTTCGAACACGGAGTCATCTAGGAAGGTTTGAGGAGCGAGTTAATATCATTAGCCGTCATACTACGTGTGGCTCATTGCCTACCCAAGCCGTACGGTAGAATATCTACGGCTGTAGCACAGTACACTCAACCCTTAATAGACAATCGGACATTGCGGCGCTGCCTCAGAAGGCCTAATTTGACCAAAGCCAACTGAGCCTTTTGTATCCGTGCAAATATTTCTTCGGCCACTGAGCCACTAGGGTAGGGCTGATCCAACTTCCCAAGTAAGGGAAATGTTCAACATCCTCAACCAACTCGCTCTCTATTGTTAGCCAGGGCATCGTTGAAGACCAGTCCTGAAGCAACCGTTTGCACTTAAGTGGCGAGAAACTCATCTGACACATTCTCAATTGCTACTCAAGGTGTCCAGAAGACTCTACATCTTGTCTTCGCCGAACAGGACTATGTCATACGTGTATTCTAGGTCTACTGAAAGTTCTTCTATGATTAGGTCAGTCCATATATGGTCAGATGACGACAGGGAGACCTCCATAAAAACATCTATGACAAAATCGAATAACAATGGATAGAGTGGACATCTTAGATGGACACCATTAGACATACGCAACTCACCCAACATCTCACCATAGACTCTAACAGGCCCACAGGTTTTCGAGTAAATAGCCTTCAATAGGGTGATGTACTTACTCGGTACTCCTTTCAATGAAAGACACTGCCATAAGACTTCTCGATCGACGGAATCGAATGATGTCTTCAGATCGAGAAACAGCTGTTATCGGGTATTGGTAAGCTTGCCTTTGTCCGAGAACCTGGTGGAGTGTGGATATTTGATGGACACACCCATGGTCAGGTCTGAAGCCTGCCTGGTCTTCTCTGGCTTGATGTTCTCGATCTCCACTCAGGCGTCGAAGAATTATACAATCTAGAATCTTATACACTATATTCGTCAGGCTGATTCCTCTGTGGTTATCACAAGATGACTTCTCGTCTTTCTTGGAGACTTGGATAATCAATTATTCAGACCGGTCAGAAAAGATCATATTTGACTCCCATACACTCACGGGTTGACACTTCAGTTAACTTGATTGAAATCGCTTTACCACAGCTCATTCATACTTCAGGAACTAGTATATCTGGTCCTACCGCCCTTCCTCGTTTCAAGTGACCTACCGCTTTTTCGACTTCTGCTAGTATTAGAGGGCCTATCTCAATGTTCCAGTCAGGATCTGACTGGATGGTGGGCAACGCAATAGTAGCTGGAGGTCAGTTAAACTGTTCCTCGAAGTATTCTGCTCATCGTTCTAGTCGTTTCCCCTGCAAGTGAATCGTAGATTCGTCCTTCTCCGCTGTAGTCTCACTAACCGTTGTTGGCCTTCTCCCTCCAGTTTCTTTAATAAGTCCACATAACTGTCTACTGTTAATTATCGCCACTGCCTTTTCCATCTCTAAGCTTCATTGACTACCGCTGTTTTCGGTCATTTAGTCAGTCTAAATTTCAGTTGCGTCCACTACCCATTGTACTCAGAGGTTGCAGGGATGCGTTCGCGTGCATCCATTAATTCAGAACAGGTTGTTGATATCCATTGGCTCTTTTTACCACTATTCGAGAGTCAGCTACGGTCTTCAACGTTGTTTTTACAGCAGACTGGAAATGGTACCAAGCTTTTTCTGGATGAGTGATAGTGTTCTGTTCCGATAACTGCCTAACCAGTTTTTTACTAAAAGTGACCTTAGTGCTCTTATTGTCGATCTGGACTCGTAATGGTCTTTTGCTAAAGTTTTTCTACGTCCACTGAAATGCAGACATATAGGTGCTCGAAGCAACGCGTGGTCGCTATCCAAACACGTGCTCCAGAAGAAGTGGTTGTCTTCATTGAAGTCATCTGCAACAACGACCACGTCTGAACGTTTGGCTTTCAGAAGAAAGCTAGACAGTTTTCGGTCGAACTCATCCAAACTGCAGTCAGTGGGTGCGTAAGCAGAGATTACAAAGAGGCAATGACAAGTTTCACTACTACTTTCAGTTCTCATTGTGCCGTTTAGCTGGACAGTGCATAGGGGACTGTCAACCGGGATACAGTCTAGTAGTGAGCTTTCTACCCTAGTGCTTAATGCTATGCATACACCTGCAAGACCGCGACAACTGGTCATCGAATCTCCAGAAACTCGAAGGGTGTATTTTGCGGACTGTGACCATATTGACCGGGAGAGGTTAAGTAAATAACTGAACTTGGATCCTGTATGTGTGTCTCACAAACGCAGCACACATCCATGGCCCGAGTTGTTAGAGTTTTGGCTAATGAAACTTGTTAGCCAATTTGACGGAGGGTGCTGACATTGAAGTCTCCAATGTGTTATTTGGAGCATGGTTTAAAGAGACCAAGGATGCTGTTCTATGGACTCAGATCGTTGTTAAGAGCTGCAGAGCTAGAAGGAATTAAAGGTGATGTAGGGTTGTCAACTGGGAGACATGAAAGGAAATTAGATGGTAATGATGGAGGTGGATAATGGTCTGAGGAAACTTGAGTGCTGACAAAGTTGTGAGGGGAGTTGACATTTCCTAGTTGCTCATACTATGGAAGGCTAGGTTCTCTTGATGTACCTGAAAAAGAAGGGTTAGTGCTCGGTCGCAGGCCCAGGGACGTCTGCTAGAGGCCGCTCGCATACTGCCTTTTGAAGCCAAGAAAATTAAACTGCATTATAGAAGATACGGTGAAACATGTGTTCTCTAGTTTTGGATCATCAGTAACCTTTGATAACTAACTTAAGCCATCATGATGCATCATTTCTTTATCCAAACATTTCGGGTACGGGTAATTGCTTTTTGTATAGCCGCTATCCAACAGACCTTTTTGGTATGGTAAGACCTCAAGGGAACAAGCGTTCCACCAGCATAGCTCGTTGTGCCATCGTGATATACAAGCCCGATCACCATGTCAAGGTAGCAGCTAGGGGTTAGACGATACAAGTTATTAAATACTAGACCCATGTTTGTTATATGTGCCCAGGTTTCGCTAGAAACTAGAGTGTCTGGATTGATGCAGCTTTTTGATTATTCAGAAGCTATAGGTCAGACCTGAGGAATCTAAGTGTGATATGTGCTAGATATGCGAACACTTGTAAGTAGAATAAAGCATGATGTCACTAGGTAAAGCAAGTAAATTTATCCATTCACCAGAAGCTCTAAAGGAAGAAGCTAGAAACAGAATAGAAGTACAAGATAAGTTAATAAGCACGATAAACTGAGAATTAATCCGTTTTGAATGTAGAATTCAGAAACTGTTCTCATGAACTGTGTTTAGTTTAAGGTTTCCATATTTTACCGACACTCAGTGTGGTTAATCCTCATATGTATTGTTCCACCAATTCGGAATTAGTCAAAAAATCAAATAAGTAACCCCTATTCCAGTCACTGTAAGCAGATACTCATATTCACCATCTATGTACTTACTTAATTCGTGAGCACTAACTGTTACTTGACATTTTGGTGAGCAGTGTTGTTCATATTTGCCTGTCTAAGGTTAGCAGCTGATCACTAAACATGTGGAAGCTTGATTAGCTTACTTTTTTTTCAACATTTTTAATGTGGTGATACTTGAAAAGTTCTTTCTTTGTTGACTGATGTCCATCAACTTCGAATTATCTAAAACGTATAACTACTTAATTTCCAACAACGATCACTCTGAAATTTTTATTTACATATCCTTCTGCTGAAATTTCACCGTAGATAAATGATGAGAGTTTACATCTTTCGCCTAACAGGAACACTTTGTTGTGTAGCTGGTTGATATAAAAGGTTTCATCTTTCTCTGTGATTAGAAGTAAGCGTAGATTGATTCTCATCCTAGTTACCCATTTTTCTGAAATCATTTACAACTGCGTTTCTTCCATTTGACTGGCTATAGTTTCACGTATGATCAGTAAAAATATGTTGATATGCCACCAAATAGTTAGTGTCAATTTTAGCCGTAAAAAATCTAGTCTTTGCTCTGTTCAAATTTATTAAGGGATCCAAAAAGTAATAAACAACTATGAAAAGTTTTAATACAGACAAATTTTATTGCCTTGAGTGAATGTAACCGTAGTTGTGGTACTTCGCTGTTCAAAGCTAAGCAGGTGAGATCAATTAATCGTTGTACGTAGGATGAATCTTACGCGATGTTAGGTTACTATTTTCGCTACTGAATTGCACGGTCAGTTGTCAGAATATTTTGAAGTATTTTTCAAGCAACGTTTAGATTTAG